ACAGATCTAGGGGTGCACAGGGGGAGGGTAGTGTTGCACGCCCCTCCAAAAATTACTGGCCCCCCCACCCCACAAAAAAAAATCATGGTCCAGTAGTTAAAAATCAACTCCCTCAACTGATCATCGAGCCCCACCACCCCACTTTACCTTCGTGCCCCCATTTCAAGACTTCTTGATACGCCACTGATTGGAGGTCGTCTTTCATTAGAGGAAGACCAGTACAGATTTTATACATGGCATCCTGGGACCCTCATGCATCTGAAGGCATCCTAAACAGCATCTGGAGAGTAGTTTTAGTGAAGCTTTTCATTTTCTGACTACAGTACAGTACTTGGATTTTGGATGATTCAAGGAACGAATCATGTAAGTACAGGGTTCTGTAGCAAAAAATACTTTCATTTACCACCCTTGCATTCATGAGATTGGTTAGTTTTTGGCCTGGGCGCCTTGATTTCCAAGGCAGGGAGACTCCGACAAACATCCTATCTCTCTGTTTATTTACCTCCGCCTAAGTGGTTATATATTCACCTGGCTGTCTGTCTGTCTTCAGCAAGATTACGCAAAATCTAAGGAATGGATCATCTTAAAATTTAACCGTACCTAATAATATGATAGACATTGACATAGACATCACTTTATTAATCCAAATCCTTGGAAATTACATCGCTCTTTCAATAAATTAAGCAGGAAAATTAATTCAATGCAATAAATAATAACTATCTTACATAAAAAGCGTCATAGGTCAAAAAAGGTGATGGAAATTCGATTTTTTTCCCTCACCTTGAACATAAAAGGAGATGTGGAATCGCCCAAACATGTCCCACGTATTGTTCGGTATCCAGGCACAGGGACTCTATATGAAATGACTGCTCTAGTATCTGTGTAAATTTGACTGACATACTGTATTGCATAAAATCTGTAAGCCCATTTTTTAAATTTTTATCTGTTACTTTTTTTAAATCTATTTTAGCAATCTTTTCATTGGTTATGTTAATCTGTTTGGTATTGTCCTTGTTTCTGTACTGTTTTTAAATTTATTGTATGTTTATTTGCAAAGGCGTAGATCCCGGGGGGGGGGGAATATATCCCCCCAATATTTGACAAGGGGGATGGTCCATTGTATCACATCCCCACCCCCAATATTTTGACTATGTATGGGATAAAACGGAGCTTTACACACTTCAAAAGACTGTCACAGAAATAATTTGCAATGTCTTATGCGCTTACAAAGATGAAAATTAGCATAATGTATTAAAGTTGATAACAAAATTACTTTATCTGGTACCAATCTAAGCTCTTCTTTCCTTAGATGTTAGATGTGCTTGCAAAGCAAGCCACATTTTCACACTGAAGGGTGTGTACGACATCAGTAATTTTATGTCAATTCCAAGAATTTTCAATCATCCCCCAGCTCATGGTGTCCTCTTGGTGCCCTCTGATCATTTTCTGATTTGTAATTGTTGTGCCGAATATGTAATAAATAAAGGAAAGTTTTATTCTGGGGAGTTGTTTGTGTTATAACAAAATAATTTAATTGGCAAGGTACACTCACCACCGAACCCCAACACTCGTCAACCATCCAGACAAAGGTAACATCGAGAGGCACTTATGCAACAATAGGTAATTCAAATATGGAATTGAAGACAGAGACTTTATGGATATTTACAATGTTTATTGTTCCAACTGTTAGTGTTTTAACTGTATTTTTTTTATTTTATTCACCTTTCAGTTAGTGCCAAGTACTAATTTTATAACATAAAAGTAAAACTAGAACCAATACAAAAATTCACAACATTTATGCCAACCGTTTCATGATCTATTATTGTTTTTCAATATTTCACTCTCAGAATAAACAATTAATACAAAAAAAAAAGATGAGGATACATTTTTGAACATTTAGAAATCAATAGATAAGTTAAAAAGTTGTATAAAGATTTACACAAACCAATTTTGATAAGTTTTACAATATTGTAGCATTTTTGTTTATATCACTGAGTAAAACAATGCACCACTCCAGATTGTTTTGCTTGGAATAACCCAACAGCTTTCATGACTAAGTTTTTGTGAGTTTGTCATTTAGCATTATTCAGGTAAATGCAGTAAACCTAGGCCTTCAGTCCATCTACTACCATACAGAAAGCTACTACAGGGCTTATGGACCTCAACAATTCTCACCACATGACTTGCCATTATACCCCTATTTCCAGGACAATAATATTTACAGAACTTTATATTGAATAAGAAACTTTACTTTGTCCAACTGACTTTGGGAATATCATAATGTTCTGATAGCTTGTCCAGGTTTTGATTAAATTCCTGAAAAACAAGAAGAAATACATTGACTATTACTTCATACAATATATATATTCATAAAACTGCATGCAAAATTTGTGCCCTAATAATGTCATATATGATTATGATTACTTTGTTATTTCATCATGTGTGATTTTTTTTATTAGTTTGTAATATTTTTGCTTGCTTATACAGTATACGCATTTCATCTATATACCATGTATTGAACAACTGCATTCATAAAGGATTTTATTTCAACAGAAATAAAAGGTAAGAAAATACAGAAAGAAAGCAAAGTGCTCGTGCTTTAAAAAAAAATGGTATTACTAATAATAAAATTCTTAATATTGTACAAACTGTTTTTCCATTCAAAGAATAATTTGTGCAACTGCAATAGATATGCAATTATTTATTATTATTATTATTTATTCTGTCTTTCTACTGCATGCACTTTCAGTACTTGTGTACTGTTTTTCAAAGTGGTACAGTTTCATAAAATACAAAAGTTAAACGAAAAGAAGTAATTAAAAAACATACATATATATAAATAGATTTCATAATAAAAGTCATTAAGAATTAAAAGAGTTTTTAAAAAATATAATAGGCATGTTCATGAAATTTGTTGTTGTTTCGTGTGGAAGTTCATTCCACAACTTTGTTGAGTGATCCAAAAAATTCTCTTGCCTTGACAGTTATTCGATTGTGGTACAAAAAGGTTATTATGAGATTGACTACGTGTACATTTTGAATGGGATTCGATATTAAATTTAAATGATAAACTAGAAATTGCAAATTGCAAGTGAAGTGCTGTGAAGTACAACTGCATATAAATATTCTTCGAACAAAATTATTTATGCGAGTCAAGTGAAAATAATGAATAATAAAACTATAACAAATAATATGA